GAGGGACCCTAAAATTCCAGCTTTCATTTTCTCCAAGTTTTTTTTTTATTTTATTTTGGTAGCTTTTATACAAACATATTTTTCTCATTGTGTTAAAATATGGTTGACAAATGTGCACCAGTGCATTCATGCACACAAACCAAAAGTAGGAACCTTCCACATAGACACACATGTCCCATTTCTAAACTGGGTTAATGTACTTTTTCCCGGAAACATAATGCACTTTTCCTGATATACATACATGAACGCTTTCATGCACAAATATGCTCCATTAACCCAATAATGAGTTCACATGGCATTGAAAACGACACACGTAAACAATGTGATTGAGAGGCATCATCCCAGCAATTATCGGATTGCAGCAAACCGCAACTGTATGCTGAAAGAGAGCATGAACCAGTGTGCAGTGAGAGGGGATTCGCAGATTGTAGCATGTGAAAGATTTGTTTCGCCTCATTTCTGCTGCCATATATTTCCATTACAGCACTCCAAGAGGACCGAACCCAGTTCCATGAATAGCGCATGCTCCGTATGTCCTCTTGCCTGCAGATACTGCAATTAAATGCACTCTACCTGCACACTTACCTTGGGCACACTACAGCCTATTTTTAAATGTCTTCCCTGAACTCTCATCAGTGCCTAGAAACGACTTCCTCCTTATTCCTTTCAACCCCATTTTTGTTATAGCATAAAATGTTCCCCAAGGCAATTTACCTCCACTCCATTGTGTCTTCATCCTCATTGCAAAGCACACATTTTCAACCATCCATCTATTAAGGAGCTTTCAAACTGACAGTGATTTGTAGCAACGAGCAACCGAACGTCATTCATTTTCAGTGGGAGTTGGTGACACGATAGGAGTAAGTCAGTGGAGCCAAGACGGAGAAAAAGTTAATGATATTGTGAGTGGATTCACTCTACTATATGATTTGTATCTGTTCACATAAAGCAATATAATATAATAAAATAATACATAAATAAAAAAATTGGGGCAGGAAAATTTGAAAAATGTCAGAAATGTTGTATGAGTGTGTTTGATTAATGCATTGATACTGCTGCAGTTTGCAATCATTTTAACCTGCAAGATGATAATTTTTAGCAGTAAGAAAACCAACGTCTTGTCAAATTAAAAACAAATGCAAAATGTCTCATTTGTGATACATTTTTCAAAACCTAAAGCCAGTTACGCAGCCCAACAGTCAAGTAAACTTGCATGCTCTCACACAGACAAACACAAAGTACTCTATTTTTAAAAAGTGCATTTTTTTAGGAAATCCCGTATGCTCACCAAGGCCACATGTATATATATATATATATATATATATATATAAAAAACAATTGGGAAATATTATTACAGTTTAAAATAACTGTTTTTTGCAATTTATTAATAAAATAACTGTTTTTGCAATTTACAGAAAAGCTGAATTTTCAGCAGAACGGCATACCTCAAAACAATCTAACGGAATCCACAAGCCAAATCATATCCACAAGCAACAACACAAATAAATGAACATAAGGACACATTCAGATATTAAATCCCATTATGGCTCAAAATACACATGGAGAAATGAGATCCCTATCTGAGGAACTAGGGAACAAAAAGCAATGTGTATCAATTAGCGTGTTTTCGGCAAACGGTGTCCCCTGCTAGCTATTTGATTATAATTAAATTACACTGGGCCTGAGAGAACGCTGGGACTCTCTTGTCTATATTCTGAGTCTCAGTAGGAGCTCTGGGTTCTAGTGGCATGCAACTGGGAGGAAACAGATATTGACAAATGCCAAACAAGTGCATTTAATTGTTAGCATAAATTAGTTTTTATGTGACCCAGTGAGGAGCAAGTGAACATAGGTGAATTATCAATAATTTTTTTGAGCTCTAGCTCATCCTTCTCACTTGCATTCTCTCTTTTCCTCTTACTGATCAAGCCTTTGAAACACAAAGCTCTGGTCATCAGTCATTCTTCACGTCAATGCTTGTGAATTGCAGTCGCTCGTCAGGAGCGCACGTTGATGAGCAAGATGTGAAACGATCTTCATCTCCCAAATGCACCAGAACTTGAAACAATCAGCCCGATGCTACAAGAGAGCCTGCGCCACATGTTGCCACATCAAAGGCTACGCTAGGTGCTTGAATCTAACACGCCGCACTCTTGTGTTCACTTCCAGAAATGAGTTAGAACACAGCTTGCCGTCCTCTTGTGGCTTTTAGAGCAAAAGGGTTTACTTATTGAAAAGAATCAAAGGAAGTACTCCTTGATACCTAAAAGACAGATCCAGGTCAAGCGGTTTTAAAATGATACAATAACAATAAATAAGGTACATGGTAATTAAAAATAATACCAATTCAGAGAAATAAATCTTAGATACTCCAAATACACTGTCAACAAACCCATTATTGCATTTTCTTCCCCCAAAAATGTCTTAAGAATTTTTTGCATAATCATTTGCACATTCTGGTAGAATGTGTAACCCCATTTGCAACTTTTGTAATGTGATGGATATCTGTGAGAAAAAAAGGGGGAATTGATTTGAATGTAAAAAGTGACATTATATGCTAGAAGGGTGCCAGATTTGGGGTGTGAATTTTCAAGTTCACTTGTTTATGCTACATTTATAGGTTTCTTTAAATACTTTTCACAGTAAACACCCAAAAACTGTATGAATTAAATACCATAACGTGACATATTATCCAGTATATTGTCAAAAACGCTTCCTAAGGTTGTCTACTTATATATTTGTTGTTTTAGGACACTATAGTTACAAAAAACTAAATAAAATTGTATATATATATATATATATATATATATATATATATATATATACAGATGGAAAAACCATGGGCTTAAAGGGGTTAATACTGAGAGACATGATGGTACAGTGTTGGATCTTTTCATAAACCTCCGTAAATCTTTCTAATATCAGAAAAACAAACAACAAGACTGTATTTATTTGGGATTCCAGGCAATCCTGAACTCTCTAGGAGTCAAAAATGAATGCAAAGCAGAGGTACCCTTTACTGTCCTCATAAAGATCAGAATGCACTTGATGAAAGTGGATGTCAACTGTAACGTCTGTAATTCCTGAGTTCTCTGTAGGCCTTGAATGAATGTCTGACTTTGCATATTAATACTATCAGTCGTAACAGTTCTTTATTGATTTTCTTTCATTTCCCAGCACCAAACTGCATTAGTCAATCTAAACATGCAGTGGAATCATTCAATGCAAACACACTTGTCACTTTGGCTGAACTTCTCCTATTTTCCACTCACGTCAAAGCCGTGGCCCATGGCAAATAGCTTCGGAGAGAAAACAGCTTTTAAAAGACGTGTTGGATTTTGCGAATGAAAGCTGTCGTGTGGCTAATGCATGCCGCCTGAATATCAATCGGCCATAATGAAGTAATTTATCTGAGAGTAGCCAGTCTCCCGCTATTCTCCTGTGTTCATTAGCCTGTCACAGCCTAAGAAACAGCTCCTCATGCAATTCTTACTGAATATAATCAGCATTAGCCCAGAGAAACAGCAGATCGGAGAGTAAACATCAAACTTCTGTCTTAGAGTCAACATGAATGCCAAAATAGGTCTAATTCTGTCACCTGAATTTCCAATTGCTTGCACCTTTTGTATTTACATATGTTCCAAACGGGGACATTTGTACCCAACAAACACACTTCTTTAGCCACATACCATTCACGGTGAGAGAGACTTCCTTCTCAGCCGCTCCAACACGAGGGACCACCGCACGGCACACATACTTCCCAGCATCCTCTTGCCTGACAGATTTCAGTGTCAGGATGTTTTCATTGCTTAGAACCTGTAGCCAAAGGTCAAAGATCAAAATATTTAAAAGGAGTGCAAAGGCAGCTGGTCTGAGTCAAAATGAATCAGGACTCATGGATGGGCAGCTAAGCTTGGAAAAGGGCCTTCTTCTTAATTATTAAAATCCAATTTGGGTGAGATGAGGAGGAACGTGTGAACATGTAAGATGGCAGGTGAAAGTCAACCGGGGGAGAAATGAGACCCGTTGGTTTCACTGGGGCACAATTTCCCTCATTTCTGTGCCAGAAAACGGACATACCCCAAACTGAGCCACTATCCACCTGCGAGTAATAGAATTGCAGGGAGTCTGAAAAACCCTGATGTTTGCCATTGGGGCACAGCACTAAATGTAAATACTATGTGCTGTCCTGTCCTTGAAATAAGAATGTCTTTTTAGAAAACTTCTGATTCTGTTCCTGAACTGTTCAGAAATAGAACGCAATGTATTAATAGATCAAAGGTTTTATACAAAGAATAGCATATTGAAGTTTTAAATGAATGGATGAAAAGACCAAATCAAATGAAATAGATTTGTTTTTTTCATGTTTGCTTGATCTCTTCTTTACAAAGACAAGATGTCTGAATATCAACATACTATTAATGTAGCTGTATTGAAAAATGGAATGGTTGGTGTAAGATATCTATGTGTTTACTAAAAGCAATGTCCAATAAGAATGTCTAGCAACTTACCACCCCAGAGCCCCTTTTCATCCATACAATAGTTAAAGAGGGGTTTCCGGTCCAGGCACAGTTAAACACAGCATCGGATCCTAGGTCAACCTGTAAAGACTGGGGCTCTGCAGCCATCCGAGGTCCAACTGGAGAAAATAAACCAGGTTATAAGATCTATTCAGAGAGGTAATATTTTAAACCTAGTGCTTGTAAGCTTGTTTTAATACGAGACTGATGGCAGCTGAGGATTATAAGTCTCTCTCCTAATATTTGTGGAGACACACCTGAACCAGTTAATCAAGGTCTTTAGAACTGCCAGAAGTGTGCAGGTGTTTTGAAGCAGGTTGTAGCCCTGCAGGAACATGGTCCCTCATGAAGGTTTGGACAACTCAGATATAAAAAAAAAAAAAAACTGAAATAACTCACAGTAGACATCCACGTTCCGACTGATGTTGGTGCTCCCAAGTGGGTTGGTGACCTCACAGGAAACTGGCTCTGTGAAGAATGAGTGATCCACTATGACCTCATAAGTGTCTCCAGACACTTCCTTTATCATGCTTCCTCCTTTGGCCCACCTATAAACAGTAGATAGATATGATATAGAGTTATGAAGCCCACTCTAAGCAGACAAAGAAGGTGAGTATTACCTGCAGCCAATACAATAGTTAAAGAGGGGTTTCCGGTCCAGGCAGAGTTAAACACAGCATTACCAAACAACTATTAGCACTAAACAAAAGTTAGTGACAAACCAAAAAAAAGCTAGTGAACTTAATGGTTTCCTATAGCATTGACAAAACATATTGCAGGATGTTATCATTCCTGTACACTCAAAAGCATGCAATAATTGTACCTTTAGGGGTACAACAGGTACAAATGGACATGTTCTACCTCATTTACCTCTAAAAGGGTTATACTAGTACCTTATTATAGCAACGTGTTCCCCTTAAGGTACTAATATACACCTTTTAGGTGCAGATAAGGTACAAAGTTGTCCTTTTAAGGGTACTGCCCCACTGACAAGCTGTTATAGCTAAAGGTATTTTTTTTTGCACATTATTGACAGGAAGTAAGTGGTAAGTGCTCTTTGATGAACATCCTTATTCAAGAGTGTCCAATCCTGCTCCTGTAGGTCCACTATCCTGCAGAGTTTAGCTCCAGTCCTAAACACGCCTGAACCAGGTGATCAAGGACTCAGGATGACTAAAAACTTCTAGGTAAGTGTTTTGGGGCAGGTCGAAGGTAAACTCTGCAGGAAAGTGGTCCTCCAGGAGCAAATGTTCTTGTTGGTCCTAGAACAAACTTCATGTTAACTAGTCAGATGTAATAGTTAATATTAAAGTTATAGATGGGATTGGTGCAACATTCATGTCAATTTATAATTTTCTCCCTCATTTTATATGTAGTTTATGGTTAAGGGTGAACCAGGTTAGAATTATGTTCTAGGACCAGTAAAATAGGTTTATATTTGAATACGTCCTACTTTGGTAAAATCATTTTGATTTGAGTCATGACATCAAACTTCCAAGTCTTAACTTCCCTTAGACTTCATTTATAATTTTGAAGCCTTGCTATCAGTCTGAGATCTAGTTTTCACATCGAGTGGGTGACAGTGGTACTCTCTAAGATAATGTGATACATATCTTTAAGCTCATTTGTAAAAGTGGTCTCAGATCCACAAGTCGAGAAATACATTAACTCTTTTAAGTCTAACTTTTTCAGTAATGGAACAGAAAGCCATCATTATGAGCCCCTGCCTGACGTACGCTATCACAGGAAAGTGGAACCCAATTTGGAGGTTGCCATGGCGATAGGAGGAAGACCTGGTGTCTAATCCATCTGCTTCTATCATAGTCATCAATGAGGCATGATAGCTGCCTGTCTGTATGTGGTTGGAGACCGAAAGAAAGAAAGACAGCCATCTTCAATGGGAGCCAGTTTCACCGGTGCCACTTTGTTTGAGGAAATTACAACACTGTTATATGACAAATCAGTGAAGTGAGATATCTCTGCTTGCTTCAGCATGTTTCTTGCCTGGGTACCAAGTTAACAACACTGAATGGAGCCAGACTGGTAAAAACATATCCTGAATTGACAAATAGGCACCAGTCCCTCTCCACATGGCCTAATGACACAAACCCCATACAGTATACTGTACCAAAGACATCAGATGTTAATAAATTCACAGCACTTCCCACAAGGAACCATTAATTTCTGTAAGACAAAGGCATCTTCCGACAATACATTTTTTTTTTCTCCCATACTGACAAAGTAATGCATCTTTAAGTCACTTGCTACTTTGTAGTTCTCTGTTGGCGTCTATGACGGGACACATTTGTACAAGCCAAAGCCAGTGGTGGATGGGTGTCTCACAGCCTGACACTAGGGATAATATCTCAATAAACTAATATATTCAATGCCAGTTAACTCCTTGCTGTCAAGAAGCATTGCTTTACAAAGCCAGCAGCCGGCACTGATAGAGAGCTGCCAAAACTTCACTATTCACCTGCTCTGTGGGAATGAGTACACAATTCATTAAATCTGCAACTAACTCATACCATCTGCGGGCCCCGATAGAGTGTCATTTACATGATAACAGTCTCCCTCTTGACTAAATTAAAATAAGGAGGGACAGCAGTTGTAATTGGCCTAGCTAGTGTGCTTGAGAAGCACTGTTTCATGGAGTTAACATAAGCAGCTTAGAACACAGTCTGCTAAATCTGCGCAGGCACACCTGTGCTTCCAAAAATATTTAAATCTGAGCATGTCGCCTCGGTCCTCAACATAATTGCTCTGAGGGAAGTGAATAGGCGACGCTGTGAAACTTTATATTTATGGGCAATTACAGCAGCAGTCGCCTGCTATACGTCTACCAGAGTTTTTCTTTCTCGTGGTAACATAAATTACACATAGAGCTTTTTGAAGCAGCTGCTTTGTAATCAGATCAGAAGATTGACTACGCCATAATTTCATTCAGCATTAAATAGCCTGTTTATTACAAGAGCCTAGAAGGATGATTATTTTGTTCTTTTAAGTAACTAGCTTATATTTGTGCATTAGCTATGCACGTCTTTCATTATAAACTTGTATTCATACGTTTTGTGTTATGATCAATCTCAGCTGTGGTCCCTTATGACAAGCAGCACATCTTTCCTATTAATTTAAATCCCATTTTCTCAAGTCAATACATGGGAAAGTAACTACTATGACACACAATATTTATTGAGCTCTACCCTTTCAAGCCTCTTAAATCATCCTCAGGCTTTACCAGAGATTTGCCACTCTAATGCATTTTACATTCAAGCTTGTGTGTGGAATGTTTTTAACTGGCTGTCATGTTAGTTAACGATTAATTTCCCATGAATGAATGAATTAATAAAACAATACATCAATCTAATCTAATTCTATATTTGAAACATGTCATGCTTCAAGTAACATTTCCATGTTTTTTTGTGAATCTCAGGCTATGCACTTTGCTAAAGCACAGATGATAAAAAATATAAAGAAATGCAGACACAATTAAGTACACTTTTAAAAGGCTCACTTTGTAATAATGTCAAATTAAACGTTTTATTTTAAAGTACAAAGTAAATCATTCCATGTGACCCTAGATCACAAAAGCAGTCTTAAGTCGCTGGGGTATATTTGTAGCAATAGCCAAAAATACATTGTATATGGGTCAAAATTATAGATTTTTAATTTATGCCAAAATCACACAGATGATAAAAAATATAAAGAAATGCAGACAATAAAATATTAGCAAAATAAAAGGCTACTTAAGTGAACTTAAGGAGAAAACACTTTCATGTTTTCTTAACACAATTAAGTACACTTTTAAAAGGCTCACTTTGTAATAATGTCAAATTAAACGTTTTATTTTAAAATACAAAGTAAATCATTCCATGTGACCCTAGACCACAAAAGCAGTCTTAAGTCGCTGGGGTATATTTGTAGCAATAGCCAAAAATACATTGTATATGGGTCAAAATTATAGATTTTTAATTTATGCCAAAATCATTAGGATATTAAGTAAAGATCATGTTCCATGAATATATTTTGTAAATTTCCTACCGTAAATATATTAAAACTTAATTTTTGATTAGTAATATGCATTGCTAAGAACTTCATTTGGACAACTTTAAAGGCGGTTTTCTCAATATTTTGATTTTTTTGCACCCTCAGATTACAGATTTTCAAATAATTGTATCTCGTCCAAATATTGCCCTATCCTAACAGACCACACATCAATGGAAAGCTTATTTATTCAGCTTTTCAGTTTATGTATAAATCTCAATTTCGAAAAATTGACACTTGAAGTTTCGAAAGCTTATTTATTCAGATTTCAGTTTATGTATAAATCTCAATTTCGAAAAATTGACACTTGAAGTTTTGTGGTCCAGGGTCACATATTTGAATGATCTTCATGCTTTAACACTTATTTTGATGTGTTGACTAACCTACTATAAAGCACATGTAAAGTACTTGATTATACTTTTTACTGTAGTGTGTTATTTGATATTACATTTAAAGTTAATGAAATTGCGATGTACTAAATTAAACACTTTAACCATATTTCAAGTACAGTAGAAGTATGTAATTACATAAGTAAGGTATAATGTACATCCAGCCGGTTGTTATCTCAGAATAAACCCCGACAGGGTGATCTTGTATCAGCCTGAAGGGGTTTATTCTGAGATAACAACGGGCTGGGTGTACATTATCCCGCTTATTACACGGCTAAAAAGATTTGTTTTTACCATATATGTTGAAATTAATGCTGAAGACTTCCATTGTAACACGCGGCGGTTAAGTGTTTTCAGTCACAAGATGGCGCCAGACAGTCAACGATAGCGGAGTGACTCGTTAAGCATATAAGTAGTACCGGTCAAGATAACTCGTAGTACCCGGATGAGCGGTGTGTTATTCAATTTGGCGGTTGTTATCTTGGAATAACATACCGCTGGATGGTGCGATTGACCAATCAGAATCAAGCATTCCACAGAGCCGTGTAATAAGATATACTTAAATCCTACTTGAGTGGTACAAAAACTCAATCCTAACTAATTACATTTCACATACATTTTAACTGTAATACATTTTAATTTAACTGTATAACACATGCAATTAAGTGTTCTGAAAACATCACATTCAGTTTGCCAAAGTATATTCTTTTAAAGTATATTATTTCGTTAAAGAGTGCTCTTTTAAAAGTATACTAAAGTGTACTTTTTGTAAAATGGCTAGGCCCAGTGTAACTTCTAGCTAGTTTTTTATAATGTGTATTCAAAGATGCATCCCTCTTCCACAATAATGTAATGTCTTTGAATAACTTGGGAGCTTTTTCTGAAAGTACTAATATATGCAATTTATTGTGATTAAATTCACAACAAACAGTGCATTTAATTCAATAATTTTTATCAACTGAGATCTCTACTTATAATTCCAACTAGTATTCTGACAGCACAAAACTATGGCAATACAGAGCAAAGCTGGACTGAGTGTTAGTTTTATGCCCATGGGGTGGCAGACTGGGAGGTTTGGCCGGCAGGAAAGACCCAAATGGTGGGTTAGCTTTGCC